TTTCGACGAGGCTCGGAACCAATCGTTGCATTTTTCCTCCTAGGGTCATCTTGGCTTCGCATGGGGGATTGGGGGGCTTCTTGACGTCCATTGGGGAGTGGGGGCCGTGTTGCAGTGACGGTGCCGTTCGTTGCAATCGTGGTTTCGCGAGAGGCATCAGAAGCCGCGTTGTAGCCTCGTCTGGCCATGTTGCGCGCGTGTCGGCCTCTTGGGGCGCTCGTGGGGGCCAGCCCCGCGCCCCTCGGAGGGTTTATCGGGAACGAAGTGCGCGATCAGGGTGCTGACCTGAGCCTCCCTTGAGCTGGTTTGTGGGCCAGCGGAGCGCATCTGTCCCTGCTCCAGAGTACACTGGAGGCCCATGCCAAGAAGCACCCTTCTTTCCTCCAGGGTTCCCTGCTTATCTTGGTTTTCGCATTTTTCTGTGTGGAAGGCGTCATGTTCCAACACCAGAGATCTATGGTTGCGTTTGTGGAAGTTTTCTTGCGGATTGGCCTCCACTGTGCCCGGCGGAGGTGCGGCCGTCAGCGGTTCCCGCACCGGCAGCACCAGAGGAGGTCTGGCAGCAGCAGCGGGAGCGGCGGAGAGGGTGGAGCAGGATGGGGGGACAGAAGAGCAGGAGTCTGGCAGGAGCAGGGACGGGGGACGGGAGCAGGCAAAAGCAGGGAGGAAGAAGAGGATAAAGATGCTCGATAGGGGAGGAGGGGGGAGGTGGAAGGGGGGAGGGTGGAGTGGCAGAAGGCAGGCGGAAGGAGCAGCCGGGGTGGCTGGAGGAGGGATGCAGAGGAGAGGAAGAAGAGAAGGGCGGGCTCCTGATTCGGTCTGTGTCTCCACTCCTTGGCACGCTGTGGGCCATCGGACTGTTTTGGTCTTGCTGGGGTTGCTGGTGGGGCCCATTCCAGGGTGCCAGAGCCCACCCCCGAAGCTCAAGAGGGACAATTAAACGCCCGCGCACACATGCACACAGACACGCGCAGACGATGATGATCGCCAGCACGGGTGAACACATGGGAACTGGAGGGGGAGAGGAGGATCCAGGAAATGCATGGACTTGTGGGAAATCTTGGAATTTGTGTCGATCTGGGGCGTTCCAAACATTGCCTTGCCTTCGAGGATCGAACGAGTTGTCATCTCCTGCGCCGCGGAGGGGCGGCGGAAGGGCGGCGGAAGGGCGGCGGAAGTGAAACAAAGGGTGGACAATGCGCCCCCCCAGAGATGAATACATTTTGGGGCTCGGGGTTTCTGGGAATCGGCCAGTTGTCTGTTGTCTGCGTCCCCCGGGCCTCTGCAGCGGCGGGCCGCCCTCCCCCCGCCCTGGGTCCACGACAGGCCGCCTACGCGGAGGGGCTCGGGCTCGACTTCCGGGAGCAGGCCACGGAGCACGGGACGGCGCTGCAGCGCGCACGGCCGCGGGGGTGCAGCCAAGTCCGCGGCAGTTTCGCGTCGTGTCGACGCGGCGGCGACGCCACCGATGGCGTCCAATGCTTGGCGCAGACCCAGAGATCCAACGTTGAACAACGGCTCGGGATGGTCAAACAGCTGCTCGGGATGCACAGCCGGTCCCTGGGAAGGTGTCGAGATGTCTGGGGCCCGCTTGCAGTGGGGGCCCGTTCCAAGAAACACCTTGCTTGCCTCCAATGTGCCCTGGGTTTCTTGGGTCTCGATGGTTCTGCTGTGGAAGGCGTGACGTTCCCACACCAAAAATACATGGACGTCCTGGGGTCTCAGGGTTGGGCTTTTTGTGGCAGGTTTCTTGCGGGCTGGCCTCCACTGTATTGGAAACATCCAGACATCGGATCGGTTTGGCCAATGTGGAACGGCCTGTGGATCGAGGCAGGGCTCGACCCGAACGGTGTTTCGGCGACTTTGTGGGCCGTCTTCGTCTCGACCTCGTCTCTTGCAGCAGAGGCGGAACGAAAACAAGGCGCGGGAAAGCGACAGCAGAGCGAACATGCAGAACCACTGTTTAGGTCGATCCCTGGTTCAAGGGGCCGCCGATGGTTCGAGGCTGAGCAGCCCCGCGCGGCGTCCGAAAAAGCAGAGCGCCACGGGGCAGGCGGGCGCGGCGTGGCAGCGCCAACGGCCGCGGGGGGGGCAGCCAAGCACGCCAGGGCGAGCGAGCAAGCTCGCACATCACAGTGTGTCGCGGAGTCCTCGCGTCGGGGTGGACGCGCTGGCCGGGGAGACGAGCAGCCAAGTGCTGCTGAGAGCGGCAACTGGCGGGAGAGCGAGGCGAACGCCGATGCCAGGAGGAAGACGAGAAAAGACGCCAACGACGGATCAAATGCACGAGCTCGCCAGTTGGTGTGTTGAGCGCACGAGTTTTCATCTGCGGCGAGTTGGGTCCAACAGGCGGTCGGGATAACGGCGGGACGCGTCCGTAGCTAACCACCGTGGAGGCAGAGGAGGGGTAAGACGGGGGACGAGGCGCGTGGATCAGCGGTGGGCCCCGCTTATATGCAGAATCGGAGCGCTCCGTGGGGCACTGGCCTAATGTACCGATGCGGAGCGCCTTCCCCGATCCGTGGATCTGGCGCCCACGCGCCACATTCACGGATCCCTAATCCATGTCAGCGTGCGCACGGTTGGCGGACCCGCGAACTCCTGTCCGCCCTTCCATAACATACGAAACAAGTGTGGCACAACCTGGCATTGTGCTGGAAGTCGTTTCCCCCAAGCGCGCTTCCCGCTTCCGGCGACTTGGCGAGGGACAAAGCGCGTTCCGAGCGCGGGTTGGATATGAGGATGGCCGAGCGCGTGCCGAGCGCGGCCTGGTTCGGTCGGCTGCGTCGCAGTCGTGTGCATGTAGTCGGGTTCGGCTGGTTGGTTGCTGTATCGCTGTGCCCTTCTGCTTCCGGCGTGTCGGATTCAATCAGTTCCTATTTCGCTGTGCGTTCAGCCGCTGTTCAGTCATGCAGTCGTCGTCGGCGATTATATATGTGGCAGCACGGCTGGCCCGCTCCCCGCCAAAACAATAGAATGTGTATCCTGTCTTGTTGGGCGTCTGCGTCCCGTCTTGGGCCTTCCTGGGGAGCACCAGAGGCCCCAAGAGGTCGTCCGAGGTTCCTGGCTACCCCCGTGTCTGAAGACATCGCGCTGGAGATGTACACGCTGCTGTACTGTAATGTTGTCCGCCTCTTGGGGCCGAGGTCCCCGTCTGTGCCTTGGGGAGAAGAATTTGGGCGGTGTGGTTCGATGCATCTTTAGAAAAAGATCCCGGTATCCCTAATCTTCCTGGCCCTCCTCACTTACTCTGGATGGGGCAATAGTCGCCCCCCCCTCCTCCCATTGGATCCGCTGGGAGGTTGGAGGACACGTGCTGTCGGAACGGGTGGAGGGGGGGTTGGAGGAGGAGGAGGAGGAGGAGGAGGAGGAGGAGGAGGAGGAGGAGGAGGAGGAGGAGAAGGAGGAGGGGAGGAGGAGGAGGAGGAGGTGGAGGAGGGGGGGGATGGGCATGCTCCGTCGGAAGGTTAGTCGCCCACCCCTCGATTTGTATCCCACCCAGAGTAGATCCCCTCCCAAAGGGTCAGGGGCCCTTTTGTTGCCAGCCCGTGGTTGCGACGGCGCGGCGGGCAGCCCGGCGCGCCGCCTCCTGGGGCGGGCCTTCCGGCCAGGAGCGGGGGCCTCTAGAAGGGCAAGGGCACTCTCGACTTTGGGGTCCTCTTCCTCCTCCTCCTCTTCCTCCTCCTCTTCCTCCTCCTCCCTCTCCTCCTCCTCTCCCTCCTCCGTCTCCTCCTCCTCCTCCTCCTCCTCCTCCTCCTCCCTTCTCCTCCTCCTCCTCCGCCTCCTCCTCCTCCTCCTCCTCCACCACATTGCTCGTCCTCCTCCTCCTCCTCCTCCTCCTCCTCCTCCTCCCAGTCTTTTGGTGCTCCCATGGGGGCTCTCTTGGCCCTGTGCGGGCGCACCCTGGCATCTTCGAAGCTTGGCTGCTGAGTTCTACTCACCTGCGCTCATCCTCTGGGACCCATCAGTTGGCAGAGGCGGGGTGGGATGCGGGGGGGTGACGACGGCAAGGGGGAGGAGAGGAGGAGGAGGAGGAGGAGGCAGAGGAGGAGGAGGAGGAGGAGGAGGAGGAGGAGGAGGAGGAGAAGGAAGAGCAGGAGAAGGAGGAGGAGGAGGAGGAGGAGGATGATAACGACGACGAAGCGGGAGGAGGAGGAGGAGGAGGAGGAGGAGGAGGAGGCGGAGGCGGAGGAGAATGACGATGAGGAGGAGAGAGGGTGGTGGAGGGGGAGGACCCGGAGAAGAAGGTGGATTACCGGCCCGCGGACAGGGCAATGGGGCGTTGTGTGTTCTGACGCCCGCCGATGTGATTTTTCCCATGCGCGGCCCCAGTGGTCCCGACCCTTCGGCAGCTCTTCGCCTTGGACCCATTTTGGATGGCCCCAGGGCTCGGTGATGACACTCAGAGGCCGAGATTCACCCTGAACCCCCACGTTACGAACAAAAATGCAATCACGCCATCAATCACGACCAGAGCCCCAGACCATCTTTCTGCGGTATTCGTCGATCCGCATCGGTCTGTGATGCTCCTGGAGCGTGAACCCATTCGAGAAATCGCCTAGTGTGCAAACTTAGCAACGCCCGGATTTCAGGGGAGGCCCAGGCCGAGGAAAAATGCCAGGCTTGAAAAAGCTGGGTCGTCGGAGATCTGCGCGTGCGTGCTGTCGTTGCCGTGGGGCGCGGGGGTGCGGCCTCGGGTCTCGCGCCACAGACCACTTCCCCACCGCGTGGGCAAGAGTGGCCCAAAGGCGGGTGTCGCCTCCCACAGTGCCTGACATAACTGATCTGTGACATCTCCGCTGGTCGTATGTGTAGCAACACGGATGCTGGGCGGCTCAGCCTCCTCAGGCCATGTGCCGCCGAGCTCCGAAAAGCGTTGTTCGGAGGAGGAGCGGGAGGAGAGGGGGGGGACTGGAAGGACAGAATGCCTTGAGCCGTGGCCGCTCCTGAGAGCCTCGGTTGCTATCCGCGCCCAGGCTGGTGCAGTGCGTGCAGCTCGG